AGAGTAGGTTGAAAAGGCTTGCTACTAGGGCTCCAGTTCATACATGTACAGGATTACTCCAAACAGATGTGTTTAAACATGTCTCTGCGATCAGTAGATGACTGTAGACAAGTTCTCGTTAGACCATACACTTGTTTTTGTTGTTGCTATTGCTAAGTGTCCTTCAGTTGTTTACAACTCATAACGACCCTATACAGGGCCTCTGAGGAGCTACTGGTGAGTTGAACCACTGACTTTACAGTTAGCAGTCCAGTGCTTATCCTACAGAGCTGTAGTATCCTTAAAACCCTGGAAACACAAACCCACTGCAATCGAGTTGATTCTGAACTCAGAGCAACCCTACGAAGCTATAAATATTTACGGGAGCAGACAAACTCATATTTTCCTGATGGAGCAGCTGGTGGATTTGAACTGTGTATTTTGCAGTTGGACTCCTGGTGTGGCACTCCAAGATCAGCGCTGGACTGCAAACCACAAGGACAGCAGTTCAAACCCCCTAGCTGCTCCTCGGAAACCCTGTACAGCGTGGCAATGAGTCGGAACTGACACTATGGCACTTAACTACAACACCACCACCACCTTGCATTTAGTCCAGTGCTTATCCTACAGTGCTATTATGACACCTTCTTAGTCTCCTTGGTGGTGGTGGTGGTGATGTGCCGTGGAGTCGGTTCCAACTCATAGCGACCCTGTATAGGTAGGGTTTCCGAGGCTGTAATTTTTTACGGGAGCAGAAAGCCTAATCTTTCTCCTGCTGAACAGCGGGTAGTTTTGAACTGCTGACCTTGCGGTTCACAGCCCGATTCATAACCACTATGCTATCAGAGCTCCTTAGGGTGTCTTTAAAAAAAGAAAAGAAAGTCTAATCAAAGCAGTGGCTTCTGAGAGGATCTGCTGGTTCAGTTAAATTCAGCCTAGAAGGTTATGGAGACTATAGCTTGTTATGCCAAAGTACAGGGTTTCTGAGGAGAAGCTGGTGGGTTTGAACTTCTGACCTTGAGGATAGCAGTCCAGTGCTTATTATACAGTGCCACACAAGGGCTCCTGTTCATATACTTGAACCCCTGTGTACATACATATATATAGTGGACACACAGATATACAAAATGCATACTTAGTGTAGACTTGCTTTATGGTTTTGGAAAGTTATTTAACCTCTCATTAATGTAGCTGTTGTTAAGTGCCATCGAACCAGTTCCAACTCCTAGAGACCCTTTATAGGGTTTCCAAGGAGCAGCTGATGTGTTTAAACTGCCAACCTTGTGGTTTACAGCCCAGTGCTTATCCACAGGCTACATTGCATTTAATTAAGTCTGCTTTACTAAGTGTTGAGGTTAAATGAAAAAAAAGGATTTCTCAAATTCAACTTCTTTATATTTAAAACTCCTGTAGTTTCTTATGGGAGCATGGTAGCTCTGTAGAATGACAAGGTCGGTGGTTTAAGCCCACCATCTTCTCCCCAGGAGAAAGATGAGGCTTTCTGCTCCTGAGAAGATTTACCACCTCAGAAACCTTATACAAGGTTGCTATGAGTTGGAATCAACTGGATACCACACCCCAATACAACAACAATAGTTTCTTACATCTATGAAATGCATAATATTTTAAATTATCATAATATTCCTGCATTTGAAAGCACCAAAGAAATACCCTAAGTCAATACCCTAGATAGAAAATTCAAGTACAAAAAGGAATACTGAAAAATAAAATGTAATGAAACAGGAAAAAAAAAGAAAACCCAAAGCTCCGCCATTGAATCTTCCCCCAAAACTATCATGAACAATGAAAGGCCAATGCAGGTTTTCTTTGGCCAGCTCCTATGTAACTGAAAAGAAGCTAATGAACTTAAGCTCATTTTCAAGAACCTATGACTCAGAGTGGGTACATTTTTAGTAAAGATTGTATTTGTCTAGGACATGTCCTACTGGACTTTTTGGTTAGACCTGAGCTAGTATGAGATGCTGGTACTGAGGACTGACATCAGACACAAGTGAGGAGAGAAAAAGGGAGCAGAAGGTCAAGCGGGTGGCTGCCCAAGGTTATGCAGCAACTGGCTTAGAGTGGCCCTTGGTGGCCTCTGACCTCAGCTGCCAGGGCCCACTGCTTCATCTTCAAGATCTGGATCTCTCAGGCCTTTCTTATTTTATGACGCAAATACGAGGCTTTGGAGAGAATTCCCTTAAGTCTGCCTTTACCCTCACCAGCACTGCCTTTCCTCTCTACTCTGCCCACCAGGTCCCAAACCAAGAATAATATTGAACATATGAGTCTAAGTCTCAACTGAAGACCCAGTTGTTTCACAAACGCACTAAGACCTAGAACATTGTAAATTGGATTCACAGACCCAGCCAATGTGCTGGGCTTTGAAAAAAAACAAAACAAAAAATTAGTTGCCGTTGAGTCACTTCTGACTCGTGGCAACCCATGTGTATCAGAGTGTAACTATGCTCCATAGAATTTTTTTTTTTTAACTTCATATTTTGATTTGGGTGGAAGTTCACAAAACCAGTTGGTTTTCCATTCAACAATTCAGACATTTTTTGTGCGTGACATTGATTGCAACGCCCACAATAAAACAGCGCTTTTTGCACTTTCTCTCTGTGTTTAATGTCTCCATTTGTTTTCCTTTTCTTCTGAGTTTTATTCCTGGGCACATGTTGCCCTTTTTGATCTCATATGGTTGATTGTTCTAAGAAGTGCATACCTTTCTGGTGTTACTGTTCACCTCATAGGCCTCTCTGTTGTTTGACTGAAATTTGACTGTGGGGGTGAGTTCCATTCCAGCCATAAAGCATGCATAAGGGCAATCATCTCAGATGTTCCCC